AAAATAATTTTACTGAGATGAGAATCACCCTCCAGGGCTCAGAATAGAAATTTTGCAGACGCAAGCTTATGTGAGCAAACACTCAACGGGCTGAAAACTTGTTTCCCTTCAGAAGCAGAAGTGACGGGCTTCTTGTAATCCACTATTTCTAACATTGCAGAAAAGCCGAGGATAGGTGGGGAGGAGAAATACCTTAGACTTCCCCCCGCCCCATTAGGCTCCCTCTCTTCATGCAAGAAGGAAATAAATGAGTTGATTGCATTTCTGTTGCATCTAGGGAAACTTTGAGATTATGCTGCCATTGCATATTGGGGGTTCATGGATGGATTAACCATGTAGGGGGTGCTGAAGAGATAATACAGCAGGTAGGGTGCTTGCCACCTTGTATGTGGCTGACCCAGCTTTGTTCTTCAGCACCCCATACAGTATCTTGAGCTTACTAGAAGTGGTACCTGGGTGCAGAGCCAGAAGTAAGCCCTGAGCATGGCTGGGTGCTCAAACAAACAAAAACAAATAAAAACCTACAGGGCCTCTCAAACCTCTTAATTTGAAGGCAGGATCACACTTTACCATATGAAGCAATGACTTTTAAAATAGAAACAGTAAGTGATGGTGAAGTTATGAGCGAGTCCTCTATTAGAATGGCTAACGGTTGCACCATCTCTATTTTTAAACACTTTGTTCATGGCTATAATCCAGAGATCTCCCACCTCCTTGCCCTTTGGTGCTCTTTACTTATTTATTTTTGGAATGTTTGGGCCCAATCTGTTCCATCTTTGACCTCTTGAGCCTTTTCTTTTTTAGGGAAATTGCTAAGTATACCGTCCTCACTAATAAACAGACACGTGTACTCACATGCATAATAAACAATTCCCAGATTTGCTTTTCTGACAAATAAACCAGTGCTGGTAGATCTTTCAAATGTCAGTCTTTTCACTCAGTGTAAGACCTATCACTGTCTGCGTGTCTCTGGACGGGACCCCAGGCCTTACTGATTGGCACAGCTCCCACATGTCAGGAGTGTGAAACAGCCAAGACCCGGTAGAGCCGTCTCCTGCCTGCACACAGTGCCACTTTCCTTTACCCTTCTTGGAAGATTTACTGCGTTCCCAGCCTCCTGGCCTCCCGGGGAGGTCAAAGTGCTCCGATTTAGTTTGCTTTTCCTTCCCTGTCTGAATACCAAGGTGCCACCAAACCCATTTTCAAGGTCTCTGGGAAAGCACAGGGCTGCCCCAGGCCACCTTTTACTCACAGGCCTGCCCAGAGGGGCTGCTCAGAGAAGCTTTTTGCCTTCTGAAGGGCAACTTCTTTATTATTCGTCTAACTTTCCACAATATCCCACAGATGAGGCCAGAGATACAGTGCAGGGGTTAAGGTACCTGCCCACCCCAATTCAATACCCAGCACCGCATGGTGCCCTCAAGCACTGTTGGATTCAGATCTGAAGACTCCTGAGCACTGCCTGGTAGGACCTGGATAGACCCTGGAATCACAGAGTCAGAGCAGCACCACTTCCTAGGGCCTTTGCATTGAAATGGCCTGGGAGGAGAGGCTGGGAAGAGGTGGGCTAAGAATTGTTGAGAGGGGGCTCTTAGGCCTCTGAGCACCACTTGAAGTGTACCCCCCTTCAAATAAATAGCACTGTAGCACTGTCTTCCCGTTGTTCATCGATTTGCTCGAGTGGGCCCAGTAACATCTCCATTGTGAGACTTGTTGTTACTGTGTTTGGCATATCGAATATGTCACGGGTAGCCTGCCAGCTTTGCCATGTGGGCAAGATACTCTCGGTAGCTTGCCGAGCTCTCTGAGAGGGGCGAAGGAATTGAATTCGGCTCGGCCAGGCTGACTGCGTGCAAGGCAAATGCCCTACCGCTGTGCTATCACTCCAGCCCGTCATTTATTTTCAAATAAATAAATACAACTAATTCCTTTATTAAAATATTGTACCAAGAGGGGCTGGAGCAATAGCACAGCGGGTAGGGCATTTGCCTTGCACGCGGCCAACCCATGTTCGATTTCCAGCATCCCATATGGTCCCCTGAGCACCGCCAGGGGTAATTCCTGAGTGCAGAACCAGGAGTAACCCCTGTGCATCGCCAGGTTTTATCCCAAAAGCACAAAAAATATATATTGTACAAAGAAATTGCATGGGAACCTGATTCTGGCCTCTGACCAGTCTGAGTTCAAGTCTCTTGCTTCCTTGTTCCCTACTCATTATCAGATATTCCCACACTTAGAATATTGCTTCTCTGCATGCTCCAATGCCGACATCTGTAAAATGGAAAGTGACACTATTCAGAATTGAGAATTGTTGTGTAAGTCAAAAGGAAGTGTGCTTCCAAGGGCCAGGAGGATTGTTCTGCAGCTGGAAGCCTACCTCATGAGCTAGGGGAGAAGGCAGCTGGGATAGAGAAGAGGCTACTATGACAATGATGATTGTCAATCGCTCAGGATGGGAGATGTGTGCTAAAAGTAGATAAAGGACCAAACATGATGGCCTCTCAGTATCTGTATTGCAAACCATAATGTCCCAAAGTAGAGAGAAAATTGAAAATTGTTTGCCATAGAGACGGGGGATGGGGAGGGATGGGGGTGGCGGGAGGGATACTGGGGACACTGGTGGTGGAAAATGTACTTGTGGAGGGATGATTGTTTGATCATTGTATGACTAAAACTCAATCATGAAAGCTTTGTAAGTATATCTCACAGTGATTCAATTAAAAATAAATAAATAAATTTTTAAAAATGGAAGTGTGCTTTTGAGGAAAAGAACAGGTTAAGTGTATACAGTTATGTGGCAATAGCTTGGATTTTTTTTCCCCTACTAACTCTATCTTGAACATAAAATTAGGAATGTGCTGGAATCATCGAAGACAATAATAGAAAGTGATAACCCGGTAAGATGCCATCTACCCTCCACAGACCACACACAGCACTATGGAACTGGTCACTCAGGTTATCCCAGGAGCCATATGATGGGCCAAAGACACAGCAAAGATGGCTTCCACCTTCCCATCTCTTGAGCTGATCCATTTCAACAAGAGATCTGCCTGGGCTGAGATGCGTTTCCTAACTCCTACACTCCTGTACCAGAAAATGATGGAATTGAAGTTATTCCCTAAGTGTTGCTGAGTCTGTCAGCTCTGAGTCTGCCCAGGCCTATGTTGCATGTGAATTATGTATTGACATTTAGGTACATCACTGTATTAAACAATGAGCTGATCAACAGAGTCATTGGGACTGAGACAGAAGTCTCTTCCCATCTACAATCAGGTCCTCACCTGGGGAAAGATTATCCAGGCAGATAACCAGACCTGATGACCTGCTGGGTAATCTTTGGATTGCTTGGCCACTCCTAGTACTTTTACAGGGATGGAACAAGCAAATATAAAGACAAAACATTACTTCAGTTGACCAAATGAGTCTTGGTGGAAGAGGGATGAGAAAGTCCAGTTTTGCAGCAGGCTCAGAGACTTTCTGGAGACAGGCTGCCCAGTCTCTACCACCAGGACAGACACGGCTGCTCTGGACTGCACTGACCTCTGTTCCCTCTGGGGCCCTCGCATTGTGATTTGCAATTGAGCAAGGCCTGGGTCTCCTTCCCCTGCTCTCATTCTCTCTCCTTGCCACCTTGCTGTAGCCACATTCTCTTCTCTGTGGCTCCCTTCTACCCCCTCCCTGCGGAATTTTCTTCCTTCCCTTAATTCTACCTAGGAGTCTCAAGTCTGCCTGTCCTTCTCCTGATCCTTCTCTGTCCCGCCTTCTCTCTCCACAGCGCAGTCGCACCGAGGACTAAGAAGGGTCCCTCTCGACACCCTCAAATCCTGGAGGCATGCTCAGGGCCCTTCTGCCTACAGCAGCTCCCTGGCTCCAAGAAGACTTCTTGCTCCCAATTCTCTGCCTCAGAAACAACTCATTCATGCCTAGATCCCCTCCCACAGCTCCCTGACCCACTGTTGGTCTCTGAGGATGAGGGGGCGGGCCGCGCTGGGATGCCCAGGGACCATGTGGTATAGAGGAACCACACCCACATCAAACTCTGGGACTACCAACTCCCCTCGCCCCCGTCCCCGTACACACGCACATGCAAAGACTGGGTCCCAGGAGCATCAACCACTTCGCCCGCCACTCTGAGTCAGTTTTTGCAGCCAATCTTTTCCCTCAACTTCTCCATTCTCCATTCTAGCAAAAAAATTTTAAAAAGTTCTCTAATTGCTCCCTAAGTCTACAAGGGCTGCCAAAGCTCCTTCAAATACTGTGCAAGGCACTGGCCGCTTCTGGGAGCCCTAGCCATGAAACCCCACGTAACTCTCTTCCGCCTATTCATCCCTGACCCGCTCCCTAATAGGGGACAAGACTCCCCTGGAGTTGCGACTCATGATTGAACTCCGGTCAGTCGCAACCTACACCATCCACCCTGCTGGGGATCCGCTCTCCACACCCGCATTCCAGCCTTTGCCAATCTTCATCACAATAACACAGGGTCACACCGATTTACTACCAAGTCATTGAGCACGCCCAAGGGCCTCAGGGAAAGATCAAAATAAAAGCAGCCGGGTTTTCTTTTGCAGAGTCGCCGCCCCCGCAGCGAGAAGGAGCGGACCTTGCGGGTCTTTCTCCTTTGGCCCACAAAGGCACCCACCGACGCGGACTGGCGCTCGGGCTGCAGAGGACGATGCACGGGAAAGGTTTCCGCCTCCTTCGGTCGGGGGTGGGAGCCGGAGCACACGCTGGGCTCGCCCCGGGAGGCGGGCCGAAGGCGAAGTGGGGCTGGGCCACAGCTTCCAAAAGCCACGGCTGGGAGGGTCGCAGGGCGCAACTCCGAGCGTTCCCGGGACGCTCCAGCTAGACGCAGCCCGGCGGTGGCGACGCGCGCGCACCCCCCCCCAACCCCCGGGGTCGGCCGCTAGGAGGCGCCGCGAGCGCGCGGGGTCCCCGCCTGCGGCCCAAGGAGGGCTCGGATCCCCTCGGCCAGCCCCCCTGAGCCGGCCTGGGCAGCGAGCGGGGAGCGGAGCGTGGGGGGACAGTCGCCGCCGAGGGGCCGCGCGCGCGCGCGCACCGACCCGAGCCCCCCGCTTCTCCTCCCACACCCCGCGATTGCCAGCGACTTGGGAGCCGAGGGCGATGTGGGCCGGGGTCCTGGCGCCCCTCTGGGGCTGGGCAGTCGCGCTGGGGGTGCTGTGCGCCCCCGCCCTGCAGGCGTTCAACCTGGACGTGGAGAAGCTCACGGTGTACAGCGGCCCCGAGGGCAGCTACTTCGGCTACGCGGTGGACTTCCACCTACCTGCGGCGCGCGCGTAAGTGGCCCCCGGCCGGGGATGGATGGGCGCGCGGGGGACCCCCACCACCACGGCCACGCTCGACTCTGGAGGGTTGGGGCAGACCTGCGGGGCGACGGCGAGGCCTGGGACTCCAGCCCGGCCCGCCCGCTCCCCGCAAACTTTCCTCTTCCCCCCTCCCCCAAGTTGAATTTTTAATTTTTAATCCCGGGGTGCGCTCGGAACCAGTGAGGGACTCGCAGGTACCGGGGAGTCCGTTTCCGTGGCAGACACGGGCGCTTCGTACAGAGCCCGGGATTTGGGGAGTGCGGGGACGAGCCCCGGGAGCCCCGAACTCGTTCCACGACCGCGGCAGAGCCTGGAACAATTAAGTGTCTGGCGCAATTGCTGTTGGCGACAAGCGGCTACTCTAGGTCCCCAGCGCTCGGGCTACCCCAATCTGTCCTTCTCACGGGGCACACCGAGAGCTCCACCTGGACCAAACGCGCGACCCGCTACACCTCCCGGCAGTCCCGGGAAACCGAATCTGACCGTTCATCGGGCCCACGCCCCCAGCATCAGCATCCCCATCTCCAGTCTCGCTGGGGGAACACCCCCGCCAGGAGAGAGTGACGGTGGTCTCCTTCCCTTCTGCAGGGCCAGTGTCTTGGTGGGGGCGCCCAGAGCCAACACCAGCCAGCCTAACATCGTGGAAGGGGGAGCCGTGTACTACTGTCCCTGGCCCGCCCAGGACTCGACGCGCTGCAGGCAGATTCCGTTTGACCTGACCAGTGAGTGCAGCTGCGGGTCCCTCTGAACTAGGGATTGAGGGTGGGCGCGGGTTAGGGGGCTGCTTCCCCAAAACGTAGGCGCCCCGCCACTCTTGGCGCCCCGTGCGTGGTGGGGTCATTGCATAAAGCGAGCAAAAGGGAGGGGACAGGTTGCTGGGGGACCCCAGACAGGACGCAATCCTGGGGTGCTCAGGTGCATACGAGGAACTTCTGTATCCTTAAGGCGCCTCCCCCCACCCCCAAGCTGGGCGTTTTCAGGGTAAGCAGATGCTTTGCAGAAAATACCCCGGTGACCCGCTAACCTTAATTCTGCAGAGATTTGGGTTGCTTTACGGGGTCTGGGGGGGTGGGGAACCGTCCTAGTGTTTCCCGTGCCCAGACCCTGGCCGCAGACACCGCCTCCGCAGACCAGGCATCTCCCCTCCAAATTCCCCTTGCTGTTTAATTCCTTACAGGAAGAAAGAATTTTCTTTCAAAATATTGGACATGGGATGCAAACGAGTACAGGCAGAGTGTGGATGGATTACATTCATTTCCAAAATCCCTAGACAGATGTTTCTTATTTAATTAAAGGGAAAATACATTTTAAACAATTCAGGCTGGTCCTGCTTCCTCTTCTGTTTTCTCGTTGGGTCCTGAGAAAATAATTTAAACGTAATGCTTTCAAAAACACTAACAGTGAGGGTTTTGCACTTGTACCTCCAAAACTCCACTTATTCAAAAAGGGCTGTGCTATCAGGAGGCAAGTAGTTTTTTTTTTCTTCCAGAATAGGAATAATGTCAACTCAAAGAACGTTCTTTGGTGAACAGTCATTTGAAATACCTTTTGTACTTCTCAACCATTTTTATGACATCATGTTTCATTATTGTAACATTAGTGTGCATTTAGAAATGATGTAGAAAATCCAATTTCACAGAATTTTGATGAAATCAGATGGTGGTATTTGTTATTTCAACTGATTTGCATTTTAAGTTTAAAGGAGAAAATAACTTCAACTTGAAAAATATGGAAATCATTTAAAAGGAAAAAAATCCTATATGAGCAGTACCTTGAATTATGACCAAATTAGGAATGTATTTTATTTTAAAATGTATTTGAAATTATGTTTTTACATGTAGCTATATATAGTCACAATAGCTCCTTACCATTTGATAAAATAATTCAGTTATTTTATGCAAATTTTAATACATTTCTACTTCTGTTTAACTATTACAAACTGGAAGATTACACCCCTGAAGTTAATTGGCAGGGAAAACAGTCTTTCAATGAATTGTTTAATCAGGATTTTTGATCTTTTTTATTATATGTTAGCTTCTTAAATCAGTAGAAGGGGGAATTTAATAAGTTGCAATTTAATAATCTGTAGCAAAATTAACACTTGAAAATACTTTAGATATTTTTTCAATGTATCTTTAACTCAAATCTTAACAGATACAAATCATCACTGGTGTTATTTGAGCTTGAATAAAGGGAAATAAGCATTTTCCTTGGGGACATTTGATTTATTTTCATGAAGAAGCCATCGGTAGTCAGAGAAATAATTTATCACTTAGAAGATTCCTGTAACATATCAAATCAGTATCTAGTTGGTTTCTCCTGTGATTGGGCAGAGTCAGTGTCTGGCTCTGCACTCAGGAATCACACCTGGCGGTGCACGGGCAACTATATGAAATGCCAGGGATCAAATCCAGGTTAGCCACATACAAGGCAAACACTCTACCCACGGTACTATCTCAGCCCCCTGTCCTGAGAATTCACTCCCGAATACCTACTGGGGCACAAAATCCAGTTGATGGCATGATTCAGTATCAAATCCAGACAATATGGATTCTTAAATATGGATCTACCCCAGCCTCCAAATTCCAGTGTTAAATTATAATAGCTAATATTTTCCAAAAGTTTGTTGTGAAGCAACTCAAATGGAGTCTTGAATGTCCTTTCCCATAGAGACTAATGCTGAAAAGCCCATGCTTGGTTTTCCAGACTAGCCCACAGGAATGTTCTTTACCCTTATTGTAGCCGAATTACATTTGCAGTGAAACAGTAAGGGACAATCAAGGTCCATTCTGTATTCTGGCAATTAAATAAAAATCAAACAAAGGGACTCACAGTAAGGCTGTCAAGAGAATTAGTGTTATCTGGAGGAAATGGAGTGTGGCACTCTCTGGATATCCATGGGGGCATCTCCTATGGCTTCTGACTTTCCCATTGTATCTTTCTTACTTACTTCAAAGCGGGTGGGCTTTTTTCTTGACAGATAGGTGTACGATTATACTTAGCCACCAACCATCATCATAATTGTTTAAAGTGTCATAAAGAGACAAAAGGTGTCTAAAGGGATGTGGGAGAGGGGACGACTGTGGAATAAGAGTGATGGAACCTTGACACATTGTGTGTATTGGGAATGGGGATTGCTACAGCAGTTCTGCAACTGAAAACAATTTCAATACTTTAAACTGTGGCATCTCAATACAAACGTTCGGGGGAGGTGAGGGAGAGAAACATGGAAGGAAATAAACATGGCAGGAGGGAAACATGGCGGGAGGGAAACATGACAGGAGAAAAATGTGGCAGGAGAGAAACGTGGCAGGAGAGAAACGTGGCAGGAGGGAAACGTGGCAGGAGGGAAACGTGGCAGGAGGGAAATGTGGAAGAGGGAAACGTGGCAAGAGGGAAACATGGCGGGAGAGAAATGTGGGAGGAGAGAAACACGAAAGGAAAGAAATGTGGCGAGAGGGGAACATGGAAGGAGAGAAATGTGGCAGGAGGGAAACGTGGCAGGAGGGAAACATGGAAGGTGCCGCGCCAAAATTTATGGGTGTTTATGAAATTAACTGAGCAAGAAATGGGAAAGAAATTTTAAAAAAGGCAGGCCACACATATCTGTTCCCTGCTGGATAATGATCTACCCAAGATCCCTGAATGGAAGTGGGGAGTCCCCATACAGGGGAGAGATGAATGAGGTGGAGAAAAGAAATTCCCCACCTTCACCATCAGGGGGTACTATGGGCCCAGGAACCTTGGTGACTGCTGAGATGGGGGTGGTGGGGTCAAAGGAGAGGTGCTTCCTGGTTTGTTCTTGAGTGGGGATCAGCCATCCTTGACACCTCCTTCCATTCAGTCTTTCCTTATTGGAGGGGACCTCCCAAATTGTGTTCAGGAGGTGTGTGTGGGGGGGGTCCTCCTAGCTGTCCTCAACCAATGAGCCAGGGACCTCGGATGCTGTGCTGCTTCTGGTCCCACTGCCTGGGACTGCCTGGGTCACCCTGCAGTGCTCAGGGTCGCGGGGACCACATCCCACAGTGTTCGGGAGCCTTCAGGACTGCACCATGGGGAGGTCCGGGGTTCAGGTGATGCTGGGAGTTGAACCTGCAGCATGTCCTCGCCCCCGCCCCTCTCCCCACATCTGGGATTGCCAGGGACTATGGAGGGACAAAGGGATGGGAGCAGGAATCCACAGGGCTAGTGCCCATGGCCCTGTGGGAGCTGTGAGCACAGTATGGCCTGAAACCAAAGAGCAGAGGCCAAGCTCCGGGCACTGCCCATCCTGAGCTTGAGTTACTGGCCACCTGCAATGTACTGCCACTTGTGTGTCTAATTGCAGACCCATCCCACAAAACTGGCACGGACAACCCACCTTATGAGCAAGGAACTTGACATCAAGGTGTTTACTATGTATTTTGGTTTTGGGGTCCCATCTGGTTGTGCTTCTGGCTCTGCACTCAAGGATCCTCATCGTGGGCTCGGAAGACCATATGGAGTCCTGGGGATCAAACCCAGATCAGCCACATACAAGGCAAGCACCCATCCAACTGTACTGTCACTCCAGCCCCTTAAAGCCAGGGGTTTGAAAACAAAAGAAAGATACATCCAACGCACAGAGAAGCAGGGCTGGGAAGGAGGTCTTTCTACCCCTTCACCTCATCTTCCTCCCAGGCACAGGGCGAGCTCTAATCCCCAGGCCACAAAACCAGGGTCAGAACTTCTGGAGTTTGACTCGCCTTAACTCTCCCAACCTTACTATCCCTCCCCACCAGCCCCCATTGGATTCCCAGTGCTCCATGGAAAGGTCCTCCAGAGGTCTGAAAGTAAATACAGCGGGGACAGTGAGTTCCAGAAGCCTGCTGTAACGGACACAGTCTTCGGTGGAACCTGTGGGTATATGCGCCCCTCCCATTGCCTCTCCATGTGGCCAGTCTGCTACTTCCTGCTTCCTCTCTGCCAGCTGGAGGCAGTGTTCTGTTTCCTCACAAATGGGAAGACCATTTCTCTTACTGACTTAGGAAGGGTCTGATGCTCACAAAAGCGCCGACTGAGCTGGCACAGGCAGATAGTAAGTGCCCAGGGCGCCAGTTCATCTTGCCTATCTGCTTTGACTCCATCTGAATCCAAGGCCTTCCAGGGCGTCTGACCTTCCAACGACTATTTCAGCACATCAGTGCCACTGGGGTAGCTGCAACTGACTGTTCACTCCCGTAACCTACTAAACTCTCGGCCTAGACTTGGAAGGAAACTGGCCTGTAATTGACTCCCTGAATCTGGTTGTGATCTTGAACCTCAGTTTATTTAAGGTCAACTGCCTTACCCAGAATGAAGAAAAGAAAGAAAGAAAGAAAGAAAGAAAGAGAAAGAGAGAGAGAGAGAGAGAGAAAGAAAGAAAGAAAGAAAGAAAGAAAGAAAGGAGAAAATCCAAACTTGCTTTTCGTTTGGCAATTTTTAAAATGAAACAATTTATTTTCACTTTTGGATTGAGCTCAGATTTAAAAAAAAAAAAACCCAAAATTTACTTGCCATCAGTGCGCAAACTGAGAAAGCAGCATAGAACCAGTGTTATACAAATCTGTGATCCTGGTGTGGGGGGAAGGGTGAGTGAGGTGGGAGGTGCAGAGAGCCCAGAAATGATTTTCATGCTCTGTATAACATGCAGGGTTCCCAAACAGCTTCTCCCCTCCCTGCGGTCCTTCCCTCCCCACTGGAATAATTCTCCCTCCACCCTCCA